GGGGGGTTCGCGAGATTGTCCCTAATTCATGAGGAGGTCCTCGGGGGGTTCGCGAGATTGTCTCTAATTCATGAGGAGGTCCCCGGGGGTTCGCGAGATTGTCCCTAATTCATGGAGAGGTTCTAGGGGGTTCGTGAAATTGTCTCTAATTCATGAAGAGGTCCTCGAGGCTGAGAGCTACTGGCGTTAAAGTACATTTATCAAACAGTGTTTGAATTTGTTCAGTTTTACGCATCTCAGCCTAAACATCGTTAACTATTTGAAGTACACGTTAATACTTTTGCGTTTAAATGTCTGTAATAAACTTTATAAAATCCCCTGGTGGCTCAGTGGTAGGTTTTAGCTTTGAGCTGAACAAAAAAAAAACATTTAGAATTTTGCACTGCTGTTCGAAACACTTGTAAAGATCAGTGGAACTTCGAAAAATCTTACTACTAGTATTAATTAACGCTTTATATTAAATATGGCTTCCATACCTGAACTATTGCTGTTGAAAACTGGGGTTCCTTTGCTTTGTCTCTTGCTTCCACAACTAATTCCAAGTATTTAATGTCTTCATAATCTAACGAGCTGACTAGAAGTATCCCGCCTGTCTGAGGATCGATTTTGAAAGGTTGTCTGCGAGTAGCTCTTATTATTCGATAAACAACTGCTCCGGCTTTCCCTTCGTCAGGATCTTTCGCATGCACAGTCAACAAAGCTAAGTTTTCTATGTTTTCGTCAACGGATACGGAATAGGCAAACCGGTCAAATACCGGTTGGTGGTTTCGAATGTTGGAAATTCGTACGATCAAAGTTGTTTTTCCTATATTAGACCCGACTCCGTGGTCTTGAGCGAACACTTCCATTTCAAATGTAACGTTCTTCTCCGTATAGTTCGGTAGGGCAGACACCAGTCGAACAACGCCACTTTGAGGGTCAATTTCGAAAAGACCCTGCGAGTTTTTAATCCAATACGTCACTTCTCCATTGTTATCTTTATCCGGATCCGTTGCACGGATCTGAATAAGGGATCTTCCTGTTTTGGATCCCTGGGGAATGCTGACAACATACCGAGTTCTCTCAAACTGTGGAGAGTTGTCATTCTCATCTTGAACCTCAACAGTAACGACAGCTCTGGTTTCAAACTTACCATCAATGGCAGAAATCGAAAACCGATACTCTGCTCTTTCTTCTCGGTCTAAGCCTTTTTTAGTACACACTTCTCCTGTATTGGAATCCACAACGAAAGGCACTCCTTTGGTTGGAAGAGCATATTCCACCTCATCAACAGAATCCCGACTATCTGCCTGAACCTATGAAATTCATAAAAGTCCATGAAAAAAATGCTTGTTAGATCAAGTTTCTTTGATATATCTAATTATTTAAGTTTCGTTTTGTTGTGTACAGTTTCAAATAACAATTCGTCTTCAACTTGAGCGCATTATAAACATTCAAATCTATCGTGTTAACTACAATTAAACAAACAATTTTCTCGTAAAAGAAGCTGCAAGTGGGAAAAAGTGTAAAAAAAAATACCACTGACTAAACGTTTGGAACAACGCAGCTTCAATATTGTTTCTTCAGGTTTTTAACTACTGAGTTTAAGGTTAAACGTAATATAATTTCATGAAAGAAACTTTCGTTAACTGATGACTAATAACTGTTAGATAAGTAGGCTTATTTGCCATAAGCAATACTCTTCAAACCTCATTACCCGAGTTAAGCCTAACGTAGTTACTACAATACAGCCCCTTTTAATACTAAAACAGTGACTAAATTGTTAGGCCTAAATATCTTCATGACATCTTTAAAAAAAACAGTAAAATCTGGATTGTAAAATGAAGTGTAAAGATAACATAATATTTTACACCGTTAGGGTAGAAAATTACACACATCTGATTACGATTGTAATTACACAAATCATAACGAGTCGTTCAAACAGTAGAATCATTAGTTTGTAAAGTTGCTACTTGTAAAAGATGTCGAAACATTATGAACCAATAGATGATTTGTG